CTGGCAGTGATGAGATACCCCTCACGCCCGCCAGTGTCCCAGGAGGCCATTAGGGGAACTGGGACTGACACCTGTACCTGGGAGTAATGAGGCATCCCTCTCCTCCATTGACACAGTGTTAGGGGAGGTCTGGAATATAAATAGGATCTTTAAATACGCTCCAGAGTCTCATAATAAAATACCCACAATGTCCAGGGTACAATCTCAAATCACTCGTCATTCCAAAAACCAGGAAAATCTTAACATGAGTGGGAAAACAATCAGTAGATGCCAACCCTGAGATGACACAGAGATTGGAACTATCTGATAAGGATTTTAATGCAGCCATCATCGAAATGCTTCAACAGACAATTATAAACATACTCAAAATATTTTTTTTAAAGTCACAATAAAGAAATAGAAAGCTTCCACGTAGAAACACAAGATATAAAGAAAAACCAAATGGAAATTTGAGAACTGAAAAATACAATTACCAAAATAAAAACTCACCAAATTGGCTCAACAGCAGAATGGACACCACAGAGGAAAGAATCAGTGAACTTGAGGATAGAAAATAAGTTATTTATAAAAGAAATAATTAATATGATGTTAACACTGATGTGTGTCTAGATGTCTGAAGACTTGGGTTGCAGGTATGGCATTATCCAATTTCTTTTTTTTTTTTTTTTTTAAAAGATTTTATTTATTTATTTGACAGAGAGAAAGATAGCGAGAGCAGGAACACAAGCAGGGGGAGTGGGAGAGGGAGAAGCAGGCTTCCCGCCGAGCAGGAAGCCCGATGTGGGACTCGATCCCAGGACCCTGGGATCATGACCTGAGCCGAAGGCAGACGCTTAACGACTGAGCCACCCAGGCGCCCGGCATTATCCAATTTCTTGCCAAATGTCCTGGGAATTATTCTTGTTAAGTCTCTGTTCTCTCAACTTTAAAATGAGATAGTAAAAACTGCCCTGGCTACTCTACCTGGATCCTAAATCCAATGTTTCTTGAACATTCACTGTATTTTTATTCATTCATTTATCAAATATACATTGAATGCCTAATATGAGAACTGCTATAGTAGATCCTTATAGGAGTGTAAGGAGAATATGGCATTGTTTCTGCTATAAGGTAGATTATAGTATAATGAAGGAAGCATGTAAGTAGACCAATTGTCAGTACAGTATGATAAGTACCATGGCAGAGATATGTACATAGGGCTTTGGAACTGCGTGGGGGAGGGTGGTGGTAAAGGTAAAGGATAGCAGCTGACTGGACTCAGGAATTACAAATTTTGTAATTCATTGAAGCTGAAATATGGGAAGCTGGATGGGGAGAAACAAAGCGGAGATGAATGGGCTTTGCATGCCATTGGAGGATACACAGTTTTTATTCTGAACTTCATGGAACAGTACTAAATATGAGCACTATTTGGTATGAGAACATTTACACTGAGGGAAAACATTCTTTAAAAATTTTTTTTTTAATTTGAGTATAGTTGACACACAATGTTACATTAGTTTCAGGTGTACAACATAGTGATCAAACTTCTTTGTACATTATGCTGTGCTCACCACAAGTGTAGCTGTCATCTGTTACTGTAAAATGCCATTATAATATCAACTGTATTCCCTAGGCTGTGCCTTTCATCTTCGTGACTTATTCGTTATGTAACTGGAAGCCTGTATCTCCTACTTACCTTCACCCGTTCCCCCACCTCCTTCCCTCTGGCAACTGTCAGTTTGTTCTCTGTATTTATAGGTCTGATTCTCCTTTTTGTTTATTTATTCATTTGTTTTGGTTTTAGATTCCACATAAGAGCGAAATCATATGGAATTTGTCTTTCTAAGTCTGACTTATTGAGGAAAAACATTCTAATAGCATAGAGAGATGACTTGAGAGGATGGGCTGAGGCCTGAGGCAGGGAGATTAATTAGGAGGCAGTAATTCTAACCCAGGTTATCAATGAGAGAACTGAACATTTATGGAGGTTAATGTGATGTTACATATGGCCGATTGAATGTAGAGAATGAGGGATCAAATCTGACTCTGGGGTTTCTAATTCAGGTCCCGGGGTGCAAAGTTGTTCCTTGAAATATGGAAAACAGGAGAAGGGGAGGGTTTGCATTTGGGATGGGGCAGTGGGTTGAGGTGGGGTGAAAATGACTATAGTTTTGGACATGTCATTCTTTCCAAATAGAGATTTTGTTGGGGAGGAAAAATTTTTTACTGTACCCCTCTAGGTTCTTTTGGCTGATCTATTAATTAAATTGATGTAATGTGAAATTAACGAAAAAAACTAATTTCGAATGTATGGGAGCCTCACACAGACATGAGAGAGTCAAATAGTCAGACTATTGAGGCTTATATGGCATCCTGAGCTAAGGTGAAGGGGGTAGGGGCCTAGAGCTTCAAAGGGAAGGAAGACAATTCACAGGAAGATGGAAAGAGCAAATGTTTTTTTGCAGATACCATGGGACATAGAGAGGAATTGGAACAAACAAGGCCTGCCAACCCTCGCCCCACAGCCTACCATGCCTAGCCCATACCCTTTGTAGTTACCTTTGGTGTTAGATCTTTTCCTGGACCAGGCCGTCTAACTAAATTCTTAGAAGCAGTTAAGGACAGGGGAGGCTAAAGGTCTTCCTGAGTCTTTTGGGCCTTGATTGTCTTCTGCTCAAAATAATCCACTTGTCAAAGTAGCATGTTTTGGGGATGATCATTCCGAAACCCTTCAGTGTCCAGCAGACTGTGGCTGTAAGGGTCCAGAGCTCAGAAAGAAGGTCAGGGCTGGAGCTAAAGATGGAAGTTGAAGCCATATGCGTATAAAGATCACCCAGGGAGTGTATGCAGAGTGAGTCAAGGGATGGATATGGAGCCTTAGGAATCTTGGTCAAAGATTTGACAGAGGGAAAGGATTCCATGAAAGGTATTGAGAAGGAATAAGTAAAGCGGTAGGAGAACAGTCAGCAGATGTTAAAGTGAATTCTTCCTGTTCTTTGGTATTGAGGGGGCCCCTTTTTTTTGTGCACTGTCATGAGCATAATTAATTATTGGGCACAAAGTGTGGTAAGAGTAGATAAAAAGAAAGAGAATGATGACAAAAACATTTGCTCTTCCAGCAAGCCCATATTCCAATATTCTGTTTCAGAAACAGAAACAGAATAAAAAAAAATAGAAATAAATATTTTTGTGAGAAAATCCTATAAAACATCTTTCCTTATTTCTGCCACAAAATGTTGAGCAAACTACCTTTTTTTCTTGGCATGTTAGCTAATTATGGCCACATTTATGCTGCATATCCAGTAACTCTAAAAATATCCAAATCTAACACATTCAGCAGTTATTTCCATGTATCTCTAGGTTGTCATGGGGTCAGATGATCCAGGACGGGCATGACTGGAAACGTGGTTCCAAGACATGTTATCTGACTGGGTTGGGTTCCCCACTTTTTTGGGGCTCTACTCCCACCTGCAGATATCTGCTTTGGGTGGGAGGCTGAGGAGGCAGCTGTCATACGGGAGGTTCTTCTGGAGGAAGTAGAGGTGAAGGTGAGTGAGCCCAGCTGCACAAGTGCTTTCAGGCCTCTGCTGATTCAGCAACGCGTGCTTCCACGGATGAGCTCCCATGGAGGTGGGGGCAAGGGGAAGAGACAGTATTTTTGAACAAACATTGAACCTATCACGCTTGGCGATTAAGAATCTTTACGTTAATTACTTTTTGTGCTGCGTTGTCAGGTAGTCATATTCCGATTATTGAAGCGTGGAGGGTCATTTGACCCTGATTAGGTGATCCCTCCTCCTGCTGAGTTCTGTATGTGTAATTTCTTAATGCCGCCACTAAATCTATAGCTGCTTTTAATTCACTGCCTCATTTCACACAGGGCTTTTTGAATGAAGACCTGAAGGTGATCCTCTGCTATCTGACAAGACTTTTTCTTCTTGCATCAATGTTTTTTTTTTCTTGTTATTTTGCGTTGTTGCAATATTTGCTAATCTGACATTGGGACAAATAGACCACTGCTGTATTTGAATGCTTTATTCTAATCCCCTCCTCCTAAACAAGTGGCACCTGCAAAGCTTTTTCTTTTGGAAAAATGAGATATTTCCTTAAAAAGTATCTCCATCTATCTACATGATATCCGTATTTTCACAGGAAGGTATTGATCAATTAGGAGATGAAAAGCACTAAACTGCAAAGGTCTTTGAAAAAATTAATTAAAATTTTATATGCATGTCCATTCTTTATTCAAATTATGAAACATCTCAAAAACGCAAAAAAAAAAAAAGCAGAACAGAGCTTATCTATTCTTTGTGCAACTGGAGGCATCACACTTAATTGATGCAAAAAAAAGTATATATAAATAGTTCTTTTAAAGAATTGAATTTTCCAGTAAGTTTGTCGTTTTACAGCAGATACCCAAACTCAGTCACACATCTACCATTGTTCTCTCAGCCTAATGTTTGCTTGGCCTGCACTGCTCTTATATACAATTCATTTCATCCATGTAACCTAGATTATTTTGGTGCTCCATACTTTAGTTTCCTCCTAAGCGATTAAATCGACAAAGTTGTCCCCTTGGAGTGTGAGGTATATTTTTTTCTAGTGCACATCAAAATAAATACATATTTATTAAAATAAAGATGTCCCTTCTGGGGGTACACGGGTGGCTCGGTCGTTAAACGTCTGCCTTCGGCTCAGGTCATGGTCCCAGGGTCCTGGGATCCAGCCCCACATCTGGCTCCCTGCTCAGTGTGGAGTCTGCTTCTCTCTCTACCCCTTCCCCCAACTCGTGCTCGTGTGCTCCTTCTCTCTCAAGTAAATAAATAAAATCTTAAAAAAAAAAAGATGTCCCTTCTGTACCATCTTAAATATCTACTTTGTAGACATCATTACCGGGCATACTATGCATGCGGAAACACTATTTTAAGGGCAGTGGTACCAAACTAGAAATATAGAAACTGGTTAAGCAATAATACATTTTGGAAAGAATTATTGACCCTTACCTTCCAATTTTTCAGGTTTGTGGAAGGAATGCTTAACATTTGTTACAATGCCATCGATCGTCATATTGAAAATGGTCAAGGAGATAAGATTGCTATCATCTACGACAGTCCTGTTACAAACACTAAAGCAACTATTACCTACAAAGAGGTTCTGGAGCAGGTAATATCATAAATGTTCTGTATATGTTATTTGGAAATCATATAGAAATTACTTAAATAACCTGCATTCACATTGTGTAACCTTTACTTCGCTTAATTCATTGACCTACATTACTATGGTTTCCTTTTGATGCACATTGGAAAAACTAGAGGTATGTTAACTCATTTAGATGGCTTTTATCCCTTATATTTGTATGTTTCAGTACTGGAAGAGACTCATTTTACAGGGAGAGCTTAGCAAGCCTCTAAGAATATGTGTAAGTCCTCTCCTGGCCTTTGCTTCCATCTACGTTGCCATCACGTTAGTCCAGCTACTTTTCAGCTCTTGCAGTAGTGAAGCAGCCTCCCAACTTCCCCACTACCAGCCTCCCCCGCTGTTGGATCACTACCTAAGGTGACACCGGAGTTTCCTCCTTAAGAAACAATTAGTTAAAAACCTTTTCCTTAAAAATTGCTATTACTTAGAGAGTAAAATCTGGACTGCCGGAATGTAGAAGCCATTTGTAATGAAGCATTTCCCCAAGCTTCATTTCCAGAACTTCTTGGCCATGCACACAACCGTTCTTCATCTTGGTTGTCCCGTCATGCCCTCCGGCACTCCTCGTCCGTTACAGGTCTTTTTACACACTGTGCCTTTCCTTCATTTGCTCTTTTTTCTTGTTTGTTTGTTCTTTCCCATCTGTGTAGTTCTTGGGTGAATCACAATATTGACAGATGAATTATAAGATTTTTTTTAACATTAAGGTAGAAATGAGGTTTCAGAAATAATTATGAATGTATTTGGGTATTGTGGACTGTGCAACATGTATTCTAGCTCTGTGGGTGCATTTATTTACATATGATTTTTTTAAAAGATTTTATTTATTTATTCAACAGATAGCACAAGTAGGCAGAGTGGCAGGCAGAGGGAGAGGGAGAAGCAGGCTCTCTGCTGAGCAGGGAGCTGGACTTGGGGCTCGATCCCAGGACCCCAGGATCATGACCTGAGCTGAAGGCAGCCGCTTAACCGACTGAGCCACCCAGGCGCCCTATTTACATATGATTTAAAGGGAGATAAAAGTATAGGGAAGGGTTTCTACTTTGATGGTATTGACATTTTATTTATTTATTTATTATTTATTTATTTGTTATTTTAATTAATTAATTAATTTTAGAGGGGGAGAGGGGCAAAGGGAGAGGGAGAGAGGGAGAGAAGCAGACTCCTCACTGAGCATGGAGTCCAACACAGGGCTCCATCTCACAACCCTGAAATCATGACCTGAGCCAAAACCAATTGGATGCTTAACTGACTGAGCTACCCAGGCGCCCGACACTATTGACATTTTAAGCCAGAGAATTCTTTGTTATGGGATACTGTTATGTACACTGTACGATGTTTAGCAGCATTCCTGGTCTTTACCTATTAGATACAATGGCACACCTCCTGTAGTTGTAATGACCAAAAAAGTCTCCAAGCGTTGCTGAATGTCTCCTGGGTGGCAAAATGGTTACTAGTTGAGAACTACTGGTTGAGCAGAGTTGGTTATACTAGGGTTTGGAAGCATTTGCTTTTAAATTAAGGCTTTTGAAAGTGCATTCTCTTCTTTTGCTTTTTTAACCTACTTAGGGTTTGTACTGGAGTTTTAGAAAATTTGGTCAACTTTCCTTGGCTCCCTGAAATTATATCCTTTTGCATCAACAATGTTCCTGTTTAGACTTCTAAGAGATTTCCAAAAAAGGCAACTGGGACAATCCAATGTCTCCATCCTGAGTTGTTGCAAACAATCAAGAGAGAAATTTAAGCCAGTTTTGCTCAAGCTGGGTATCAGCCTGGTTGTATCAGTGAATGCTGGCTTCAGCTGATTTAAACATAAGAGGAATTCATGAAAAGGGAAGACTAAAGAACCAGGTTCAGAAAAGTGACACACCCCAAGGGAGAAGGGGCAGAGGTAAAAATTTAAGGAGAACCCACACATTGGTAACTAGACTTGCTAATTTGAATTAACCCCCTAGACTGACACAGTAGGAATACCTAGTTGGCCAATTTTAGGTTACATGCCTAAAGTGCCAGGCAGTGGAGGAAGAAATGTCTTCTTTTGTTTTGATTTCATAGTAGAAATTGGGGTCCTAGCTCCCTCTAGGACTCACACTGGGGGAATTCCAATCCAATAAGAAGGGAGTTCAAATGTTAGGCAGCCCAAGACAGAACAGAATAAAATAATGCCACAATTATACTGTTGGGTACTTTGTATTGGTCTGTAAGTGTGAACTCTATTTTCAGAATGAATTATACAGAAACAGAGCTCACACTGGGGCTGAGGAGAGAAAGAATTCCATTAGCAAATGACCCTGTTATTCATCTGAGGCCACGTTTTATTATAAGAGATAATGTAAATTTCCTGATAACCTGCTCTACCTTGTGTTTTTAGGTTTGCATTTTTGGCTTTTAGATGAGGGTTTGTCTATGATTAAAAACTTTACTCCTCTGATTTGGGCATATTGTCACAGCTTCATTTTATTAATATTAAGGCCTAAGACACAGGTGAATCTTAATTAGAATACAGATTAGGATGCTTACTTATATATTTCCAAATATTATCTATACCAATATTGAATTTGACACATAACCATCAGAGCCAAAGAGAAAGCTTTAGAGAAACATAAACTAAGGAAAGTTAAATAATTTGCTGCTTTTTGTAAATCAATTGCATAAGTATATATGGTAAACACATACACATTTTGCTTAGAAACATTTCTGCTAACTCATCTCGATTTTCTAATATTGAGTCTAGACTCTTAGACCCTTTTGAGGTTTGTACTGGTTCATTGGTTTCAGTTTAGCCTGACATCAAAGTAGTTAAAAGTCCTGTTTCTCTCACCTGCTGACAGCTTCTGATTCCCCAGGCTTTTCTTCTCTAAAGTACTAAAGGACGAAGTGTTAGGAAAGAGGGAGGCATTGTGCTCTGCTTTGATTACCTGCTCCCGGTTCCCTGTGGCCTTTATTTTATTAAGTAGAGAAGACAGAGAAAGAAAGCTTTAATGGTAATGCCACTGAGAACAAACAAAGAGAAGTGGCTTTGTACTTGTTTTAATCTCCCCTGTCTCATTTCTACTGGGAGTTTCTGACTAAGTAAAACTCGATTAAGTTAGTTAGCATTTCTTATTTAATTAGGGGACAGACACATTTTAGGCTAAATTGTTTCAGTGACATGAAGGATCTGAAGATTTTACAGAATGATTCAGAAGTAGAGCTTTTCCAAAACTGTCACCTTTTATGTAGATCTGATAATTTAAACAACCCTTTATTAAGATTTTTTGGGGAGAGATTTGAGCCAGGTTCAAGATCCATTGTTCATTCATTCAACAAATGTTTGTTTTGTATGCCAAACCCTGTTGGGAACAAGGGATACGAGGCAAATGCGCCCATTCCCTAATTTTAAAGAGCTAAGACCCCGCGTAACTGTAATAAAGGTTATGTTAGAGGGTAGTATTATGTTCTGTAGAAACACATGGGAAGGCATGCAGCTCAGCCAACTGTTAATACAGCATAGAAAGGCTTTCTGGAAGAGTCAATGCCTAAAATTAGCCCAAAATACCAGAAGTGGGAAGGGAAATCGTGGGAAGGAGGGTCCTGCAGACACAAGGAATAGCTCATACAGAGATATTCAGGGAAGGGAGAATCCAGTGCCTCCCCGGTGGCTTTGGCATAAAGTATAAGCACAAGTGATTAGCGAGATAGGGCTCCAGTGAACCCTAGACTCCCAGAACTCTGAGTGCCACCCTACAGATTTGTACTTTATCCTGAGAGCATGGAAAGAGAAAAACAAAAGCCACTCCTCCCTGTGACCTGTGGTTCTGCATGATCAGCTCCTGTGACTTACTCCCCAATCCCACTGTACTACACTGCACACCCCAGCCTCAGTGCATTGCACATCCCAGCCCCACTGCACTGCACACCCCTACCCCCTGCACTGCACACCCCAACCCCACTGCCCTGCACACCCCAGCCTCACTACACTGCACACCCTGACCCCGCTACACTGCACACCCCAGCCTCACTGCACTGCACACCCCAGCCCCACTGCACTGCACACCCCAACTCCACTACACACCCTAGCCCCACTGCACTGCACATCCCAGCCCCACTGCACTGCACATCCCAGCCCCACTGCACTGCACATCCCCACTGCACTGCACATCCCAGCCCCACTGCACTGCACATCCCAGCCCCACTGCACTGCACATCCCAACCCCACTACACTGTATACCCCAGCCCACTGCACACCCCGACCCCACTGCCTCCTGCAGTTAACTTTCAACTTGCTCCATTCCTGACTTGGAGTTTTGTACTTACCTACCTTCTGCTTGAGATAGTGTTTCTTCCAGATATCTATGGTTCGTGGTACCTGGATATTATTTTCCATGGTAGCTGGATGAGATTTTCCCTGGCCATATTAAATACAAATGTTCCCATGTCCACACTACGTCGGACCTCCCTTTTCTGCTTTCTTTTTAATTTTGCCATTTATTACTCAGTACCACTGTTTTTCTTTTACTTAGCTATCTTCTTTTGTGGTGTTTCCTCTTCCAGAATGTACTTTCCTTGAGGGAAGAGGCTTTTGTTCTGTTCACAGAGTGGGGACTGGTGCGTAGTGAACATGTGTTGAATGATGAAGGAATGAATGAAGGAAATACGATTTGAAATTTCTAAATGACTCTAGCTTCCTTTGTTGTGGGAACTTCTTATCTTTGAATTTTATTGGTAATATAACATGAGCTTCTTTCTAAGTAAATTCTGACCTCTTACTACCTGTGAAGCGTTGTAGCTTATTTACATTGGGCTTGGAAGTTCAAGATGAATATTTCCTCCATGAATTTTCCACACTTACAACCCAGATCTGCATTGCAGCAGAAATGGATGTTTTTATTGTGTCCTCCTCTTGGTAGCTCTTTTCAAGTTAGTGGTTCTATCAAACCTCAGTGAAATAAAGGGGTGTGTGTGAGTTTATGTTTGTATTTGGA